AAAAACAGAACAGTGTGGAGCAGCGTGGAAGCGAGAAGATATGGGCCCACCCAATAAAAGCTAACATGGACCATTCCCACTCTCGCTACTCTCAGTCCACGGTCCAACCTGACACTAAGTTTTCCAGATATCGAGTGAGGCATGTGGCTAACATAGACCACTTCCACTCTCAGTCCCTGGTCCACACTGACACAAACTTTCGACAAACCTGAGTCAGGCGTGTGGCTAACATGGACCGTTCCTACTCTCAGTCTATGATCGATTTTGACACTAACATGGACCAACTGCACTCTGACTATAAACTGAACGCAGGCTAACATAGACCGCGCCGGTAGAGGTCAACATAGCCCGGTGGAGGCTAACATGGACCATGCCAAGTACCCGTAGGGCCCACCATGGCACATCTGAATTTGGTCTAGGTTAGTCTCAACGGTGTCCGCTCGGAAACTAGACTAACATATGCCAAAAAATGCCAAAATGCTAGTTTTCACCGGTGTATATATATATATATACATAATATACAATAAAAATTAGTAAACCGTAAACCATGACCAAAGAGACAACCGAGACAACCCAGCAAAAGAGTGTCAAAATCTTGGTTGCTGCTTGGTTCATTTTTTCGCTAATTTGCACAAATTCAGAAACAAGCGCCTTGTCCGAGAACTTTGTTGCCCCATCAAACTGCTCACTCCTCAGATTCTCCAGGATACTAGGGAATTATTAATTGTTGTAAATTTCTAGGGCGACTAGGGTTCATGTACCACAGCAATATGGGTCCTTGCAGGTTTCGAGCCATGAGAACCTACAGACTTTGGAGATGCACAGACTGTTTAGCAGTTTAGCACCTACGCAACATGCACAAAAATAAAACTCCCACAGTTGGGCGCGATGCCTTCCCACCAAATCCTCACTGAAGGGCCAGCTATATCAGCAACAACCTGCTAAACGCGCAGCGCAAACGCAATCAAACCAAATCTCTTGCAAACCTAGCGCTAAGTTGCCAAAGGCCTCTGTCTGCTTTTAGAGGGGCCCATCATGCGCCATTAAAAGCCCACTGCAACTGATCAAAATCTTAGAGCGCAGTCAACATTTGAGCCGGCAGCGTCGCACTGGGGCCTGATTTTTGATCCAGCAATTACGTGAACTCAAGGTAGTTCACGCTCGCCTCCATGGTTAATTTGATCTGTGATTGCTTTGCGTAAATCTTATCAGAAGCTTCACCGGGAGAAACAAGCGTCAGTCAGGTTGTAGTTACGAGTCTGCTGGGAACCCTAGGCTAGAATTTTACCAGCAGCGCAGCCGTGTCGGCAGAACCTCGGGAGTCGTCCCAACACCACGGACGATCTTCGTTATATGGACGTTTTCCGGGATTTCTTTTGCGGCACTTCCTTTCGCTTCCTTCGTTGGTGTTTCAGTCTGTACAATTGAGCACGTGACTCATGCAGCTGTCTAGCTTCGTTCAGTATTAACACTTAGTTGGGCGTTACTTGATTGGCGCTCCTTGTGGCCTCTTTACGGGCCACAGGATTTGCAAGGCCGCGCGTTTATCATTGAGATGGACTGAAGGCGCTGAATTGACTGGCAGGTGTGCTATACCATCCGTTGGCGACTTGCCTCCAACGCTGGCGCTATCCCAAGAAGATGGATCTCAGGCGGACATCCCACTGAACAGCGCTGTGATTCTATTAGAGACGCGAATGGCAAGCCCGGACACATCGACTGAGATGGCTTTTCCATTGGCTCCTGATGCCTTCGGCTGGATCCCTTCAGAGGCACTTTTGACAACAACATCTTTGACCTTGTTTGGGTGTTGGGATGGCCATCTATGAGTGGCACTTATTGCTGGGGCCAGGACTTAGCTGGCTTGAATCTCACGGCTCGTCTTTTTGTGCGCCCTGACTTGTACGGATGCTGTCTGGGGCTTACCAGCCGATCTACAACAGATCGGATGCATGTTGGTTCTGCTTCGTGTTCTCCGGGAATCACTCCAGACTGCGCATCTTCTGTTTGTAACACGCGGCCAGATCCTTTTGTTAATGGATTGGTGGGCACAGTTGACCAATGCTTTGCCTTCATGTTGGTCCGCAGTCTGTGGAATACCGCAGCTGGGGATAGTAGGATCTGCAGGGGCAATGGCTTCCACCGCCACGCGCCCTGAATCCCTGCTGTCCAAAATCAAGAAGTGTTTGCGCTGAGGGAAAAATATACAGTGACCATGTTGTTGGGCTGTCTACAACAATAAGAACGCCGCTCGTCTGACCTACGGCGGCGGAACTTGTCGACGCTTTTTGGCCTAGGCTGGCAGGTCAGTATATCATATCATTGGCTCCAAAGGTTTGAGATAGAGACATGTCCAGAATGACTCCCTGGAAGCGACCTTCGCCAGAAACCCCACTTCTTCCGTATGAACATGAAGAACACGCGCACAAAATGATACGATAACACAAAGCCTCACAATTCTGAAGCTGCCAGGAGCCATTGACCAGCTTTGCCGGATAGCTGGTGGAGTCTGCCGAAACAAAGGCCCTCTTTCACCAAAATTTGTCAAAGCAGAAGCGCCTGGCCTGTTTGGCTTTTCCGGGCTGCAATCCACTGACAAGATCCTTAAACTCGAACAAATTAGCCGTTGGTCGTGTTAGCTAGCCAGGTTGCAACGCTCTTGGCGCCAAGGATGGGGTCGAGGCATTGTAGATTTCAACGTCGGGGTCAAAATCCGCCTGGAGGTGCATTGTAGATTTCAACGTGGTGAGCAAATGCAACAAATCCGCCTGCTGCATTTCTTCTAGCAAATCAAGCGCCTTTTGAATCTCTCCGCCTGAGGGTCTGAAGGAGCTCTATTACCAAACCGCTGCAAGTCTACGTTTACTCGCCTGGCTGCCTGCAACGCAAATCATGGAGGTCTAGGTTCATGTCCGAATATAGTTCAGTTGGCATTGGGAGGCATGTCTTGCCACACCGGGTGCCCACCTCAACCTCAACCTTCGATCAAGCAACCTTGGATCTTTTAATCGACGCAACCGCGCCCAATTGAACTTCAACTGATCGCCTAACACTGCCTGCAGCAGGTCGCGCGTACGCGTACAGGACCTCTGGTCTCGTCTTGTATACATCGGACGCGCCCTGTAGAAATATGACCCGCCGGACCCACCTCTTCTGCAAGCATCGGTCACTGAGTTGAAAGCCATGGCTGTTGCTCGAATTCGCCGTCCTCAGCAGCTGAGGCAGCCACGCAAAACAACGCAAGGTCAAATAACTTGGCCAATTGAGCCAAAAACGTTGAAGATCGCGAAGAAACAGAAGTGCTCCTTGCCAAGAACTTGTGTGGCTGCGACTCCTCAGCACTTCAACGACCCACCGCTACATCATGACACAACGCCCCACGATCGCCATAGATTCCTGTGCTTTGCAAAGCTGCGACGACCAGAGCTGCATCAGTGCAGTCACCAACAACAGGTTTTCCAACGGTCCAACCTTCATTGTATATATATATATGTATACACACGTGCGGACATAATCAAACAAAATTTAGCTCAAACAGTTCTTGCAATAGTTAGCATAAACAAACCAGCTAAGTAGCGTAGTTCAAGAGCTCGCGTAGTGCAGCTAAGTGAAGAGCTAGCTAAGTCCACTTCGAGGTGGAAGTTGAACTGTGTCCAACTGTCGTCGGAAATCAAGGTCGAAGTTGCCAAAGTGCGCAACTGCCGTCAAGAAGCAAGGTCGAAAGCTGCCTATTTATAAATGAGTAGCTGCCGTCGAAAATCAAAGTCACCAATGTGCACAACGGTCGTCGAAAACCAAGGTGGAAGTCACCAAAGTGTGTAGTTGTCGTCAAACATAAGGTGGAAGTGGCCAAAGTGTGTAACTGCCGTTGCAAACCAAGGTGGAACTTTCCAAAGTGTGAAACCGTCGTCGAAAAGATCAGGTGAATGTGGACGGTTGTTTGAGATGTGTGGGCAAAGCTTTTGGTTTCAACTTGGAAGTTGCCAAAGTGTGTAACTGCTGTTGAACATCAAAGATCATCAAAGTGGAAGGGTCCAAAGTGTGCAACTGTCGTCGAAAATGACCGTGGAAGTGGCCAAGGCGGCCAAAGTGCGCAATGTCGTCAAGAAGAGCAGTCGAAATTGCCAAATTTCAATGTGCGCAGTCGTCCGAAATCAGCACTTACACAATGCCATTTCCTGTTTTGGCCTGCCTGAATTCTGGAGCCAGATCTGAGAGGTCCTTTTTGCTGTGGTGGTGGCGCCTGCGGGCGCCTCAGTGGAGTAGACTGCGACGCGTGACTTTTCTTTCAATTCCTTTCGGCATGGGCTTTGCGCGCACTGTCGGCCAAAGACTTCGGTAAGAACGTTACAACGAGCAGTCGTCGCAGATCTCTTTTAGGAGCGTTGCAGTCCTTGGGACCTGAGTGCTCTTGTTGAATTTCAGGACAGGGGCTATCGTAACTGACGCAGCTGAACTTCGGAACGGTCACAGATCAGTGGATCTCTAAGGGCAGCGACCTCGGGAAGCGATGGCGATGTCGCTTGCTAGTGCGTATTGGGTCATACACGTGCCTGGCTCTGCGGCGGGCGTTCTGCAAAGGGCAATAAATGCACTTTGATGTCTGTCTATGTTTAACGCTAATAAAGCATTGGTTTACATCACAGGCCCAACGCGTTTGCCCCCCTGTCCTCGACCTTTTATTCACGCGCGCGAACCACTTCTCTCAAGAATTGATTGGCGAACTGATGAGTGTCTCTCCGCGTTAACGTGAACACAAAAGGAATGGCTTGCAGGGTGGTCAGCTATGGTCCAAGATTGTACCCTTGCAGGAGTCGACTCCCGCCAAAAGGATGGTGGCTTCAAAGATCTAGATGAACACGGCACACGTCGCAAAAAACAGTGAGTGAACACACAAACAAACAATGTGAACGCAAATCAATCGCTAAGCGAACTTCGCAAGTTCAGGAAGGCGTTGCGCATGTTTGGTCAGGCTGGCTTGCTTACCAAGAGTTGAACGCTTCCACTCACGCACGTGTCTTCCATTCACGCACTTGGTGATCAATGGCTTTGAGACACAATGAGTTTTGTCTCAATGTTTTGCCGCTCAGTGGGTTTTGACGTCTGCTCAAAAGGATGTACGGACCTGTAACTGGCCACAGATTTCGTCGGCAGACTTCCTTCACCCTACCCTAATGGAGCAATTTGTCCGTCTCTCTCCCTAGAACAGGAGGCTTAATTTTTTGTTTACTTTACCTAGAACGGGAGGCTTTTTGCCTAGCTTACCTAGAGCGATTCCTCTGTATCGCTCACCGTGTGGAACAACTTCTACTTCTACCTACTCAATCGGTCGCTTGTCAATCAAAGCTTGGAAATGGGCACTTGATTGCGCGTTGAACGCTTTTATTTGCAGAAAACCTACTAGTGATGGCCTCCAACCTGCTGCGCTGGCCCCTCACCTAGATGCGATGGCCTCCAACATAAAGGCGATGACCACCAACCGCCTTTCCTGTTGAATCCGGCTGTGATACGATTTTCAACCGCTTTCGTGTCTGCTTGCAACCAACCTACTAGCGATGGCCTCCAAGCTGTTGTGATGGTTCCCACCTAGATGCGATGGCCTCCAAGCTAGATGTGATGGCCTCCAACTTATTTTTCTGTTTCGCCTGGACCGTTAGGTTTTTATCTAGACCGGCGAGTGGCAAACCGCCGTCCATTCCGCGCGCATTTCCTAAGTGAGTGTGCTTGAGATCACAGGGATCCTTTTGGAATGTACTGCCTGGCTTTTTACATTGTTTGTTAGCAGGGGGACCATCCATGTGCTGTGAGCGAGCGACCGCTGTCACTTCGACCTGTTCGTCGCTTCGTGGCTTTGGAACCTTGGCCTTTAACTAAAGGCGCTCAGGCCTCCGTCACCTGGTTTTTCCCCTACTGTTAGGGGTTCTCAATGCTTTAAAGAATGGTCGCCTTGGTGCTGGATGGTCTGGTCGGCCGGCTGAAAGATGGAGGGGAGCGAGACGGGAGGCGCGTCTTCCTTCCCCAGCCGTCCACCCCATCGCACGCCTCCCGTCTCGCGCCCCATCTTCCCTCCCCAGCCCCATCTTCCCTAGCCCCGTCCCCACCCATGCGCCTCCCGTCCGCTCCCCTCCATCTTTCCTCCCCGTCCCCGTCCCCACCCATGCACCTCCCGTCTCGCTCCCCTCCATCTTCCCTCCCCCCATACCGTGCCCCTGTACCGTACCCGTGTACCCGGTACCATGTACCATGTACCATATCTATGTACCATGTACCAAATTTGCGACGAATCATACTTTTCTGCCAGAAATCTGGATTAGCAGCAGGTTTGGTACACAGGGCGCAGGGTGCATAGGGGCAGGTGCAGGGGTACGGTACAGGGTACGGTACAGGGGTACGGTACGGGGGTACGGTACGGGGGTACGGCACGGGGGTACGGTACGGGGCGGTGTGGGGTACAAGTACAAGGGTACGGGTACAGGGTATGGGGCGCGGTACGGGTATGGGGTACTTGACTGTTCATAGATGAAAATTACTTCGCAACCCTGCAGACAGTGGAGTATGGTGGACGGTTGCAAGAAGTTGGATGGTGATCCTGTGGCAAATCACAAGTTCCTGGCGCAAAGAGGTGTGTTGATGGCACGCAAGATTGAAATTCCTTCTTTGAGATTGAGCGCGGCTTTGAGGGAAGAACTCAACATTCAAGAGGAACGTGTTACAGGTTTACGTGGGCCAAAGACCAAGTTCATGGAACTCTCAGCCTATGAGCGACGCTTCGGGCAAGCGCCAGAGGATCGAATCAAGCAACAGATCTACAATGGTGTTGATAGCCGAAGAGGACTGTGATTTCAAGAAGCTCAAACTTGAGTCAGAGTCAGAACATTCAACGTCAACTACTGTAACTATTAAGAGCTAGTGATTGAACTCAGTATACACACTCCGCTGTAGGATGTTGGTGTCTATGAATATGTGGACGAGCAGCTGCGCAAGGTGAACCGTACAACCCGATTGAACAATCCCGATGTTTCCCTCGGAGCAGAGCAGATCAATAACAATGCATCAGTCCGCCCTGATGAAGATGAATCAGTCTGCCTTGGCTGTTGATTCAACCCAAGCCCTTCCAATGCGTTTTCGAATTGCCAGTTCTTCCGACGGATGTGGCTTGGACTGTCAGGTAGCCAGTGGCACTCGAAAGCGAAGTAAACTTGGTACACTTCTCGATGCGTGCGCGGCGGGCTTTTCCACCTATGGCGACGGTCGGGGCCGCAGGTCCGGTCAGCTATCTGAGCGTGGGCATCTAGTGCCACAGTGGCCAAAGGGATCCCTCATGGCGGCGGTTCATGCCATGGATCCCAAACCGAACGATCCGGAAGCGAACTTATCAAATCCGAGGCGAGAAAACTCAGACGCCCCGAAGTTCGCTGGCGGATCTCCAACCACGTTGGATCCTTAGGATCCGTGATTTCGGAGTCTACCGCAGCCATCTCCTTCTTCTTCAAATTCTTGGCTGCTGAGACCAACCTTTGCCTTTGAGGAAGTTCGCAACGCCGTGCGCTGCGGGTGCTCCAGCTGATCAAGCTAACATGCCTTGGAGCCCTTGAAGCATGCTCTTGTTCACAAAGCCGACCACATAGCCACCTGTCGAGGACAGGTCGATGCGGTTTGCGAGCGCCGCATCGCTCCAGCCCACAGCCACGACGTCATCGTCCTGAAGTGCCTTCAGGTCATAGACTGACACCTTCTCATCCTGCTGGCTGTAGAGCTCTCGGACAAACTTGTTGATGTCCTCGTTTGGGGCGATAGCTTTCTCTTCTGCTGTCAGCCTTGGCTTCCTCTCTCTGCTGGCGATCTGTCATGGAATCATATTCTCCTTTAAGTTGATCAAGCCAGTCAGATCTTAGGAATGTCCAAGGAAGCGTCAGTTGAGTCGTGCCTTGCGCCACCAATCTCTCTCTCTCTCTCTCTGAGGCGCGTCGGAGCTGGTTCACGTGCACCTTCTTCAACCTTCCAGACGCAATGACCCAGGTAATAGCTGACCTTGGTCTCCAGAGCCAGGATCCGAGCAGGGCCATACCACCTTGCAACTTTGCGACGAGGGACATCCAGAGTTTGATGTGATCTCTCAAATCGGCTGGTGGTTGGTACCTTTTGTACATAACGAACCGGCTTAGCCATCTTGGTGTTGTGAGCCTGGTTGATCTTCTCCCTCAGGATGAACTCACGATGATGCTTCTTGGCCAGCTGCTGCTGCATCTTCTCTGTGTTGCCAACACCAGACCAGTAGGGAAGATCTGGTCCATCATGAAGCTGAAGTGAGTCCGTGAAGTTCCTTCCGAAGAC